CCGCCCCACAGAGAATGGCGCGCCAAAGCGCATACGTACGTATATATGTTTACCGGGCGATGCCCCCCTCCCCGCCGCCGCCGCCCACGACAGCGAACGACACGGGTGGGGCAGAACGGAAGGGAGGCGGACGCAAGAAGAGAAGACAAAAAACACAACGACAGTGGCCGCTTCTCCCGTGGACACGGCATTTTTCTAGGCAAGCCACGTGGAGGAGGCAGCCACCATGTGTACACACTCCTCCTTCACAGCCCACCGCAGCACACACCCCCCACGCGCCCAGCACCTTCAATAAAAAAAGAGTTTACGGTAAAAGGAAAAAGAAAATGGAGAAGCCGTTTTTTTTAGTTCTGCTGCATGTGCGCCTTCGAACGCCTCCCACTGTTTCAACCTCTTCTGATTTTTTCGTTCCTCGCCGTGGAGTGTGTTGCCCCTTTCGACACCTTGACAAGGAGGCTCCCCACATGCACCCGAGCTACGAAGGGGGGCGATGGGCGCACTGCCATTTCCCTGCAGTTTGGGCGAACCCCTAACGTTCATCCCCGCCTGCTCTCGCCTCTTTTTCCAACAACAAGGCACACAGCGACAAGCAAGCAGGCAAACAAAAGTGGTCGCTCCCTCAGGCGTTGGCTGAGTCTGCGGGGCTCTATGCGCGTGAAAGAGAGAGTTGTGTATGCCCCGTAGGCGTCAGCACGAATACGCCCGCCAACATCGCCCCGCACTTCTGCTTGTGGCGCCCAGCCCCCAGCGCCTCCATGCCCCGTGGGGCATTCCCCCGCAGCAAAGTAGGGCACAGGCAGCAACACCACGTCTGTTTTTACTTTGGGGTTTTACGCGGGGACACGCCCACTCCGGCAGAAACCGAGTGTGTGAAAAGAAAAAAGGTTGCTTTTATGGGCAACAAAAACACGCTCTGATACACACTTACATTAGAGACATTATTGAGGGTAAAACAACGTGGAAAACAGGAAAAAAAACACACACATCGTCACTCCCCCAGATCAAACAAAGAAGCTCAAACCTCCACAGGGCGCTGAGGCGCCAGCGGATTTACCGGAGCCGCGATAGCCGCGCCGCGACCCAAGATGTCCAGAATGACCTCGGGACTACCAGCAATGCTGTTATGGACGGATATAATCTTGGTGGCGAGCGACAGCATCGCCTTTTGCCGCTGTGCCACATCCTTTGGCTTCTTCTCCATTTTCCCCTTCAAGGTCCGCTCCCATAGCGCCTGCATCAGATCCATAAGCACGGGGCTTGCCATGACTGCGAGACAATTTTGGACTTGTTGCTGACGGAGTGCCTGTAACGGGGTCATGCGAGATTCGCCAACGCTCAGAATGGCGGCCCGCAGCTGCGACATTAGCGATACATGCCGTCGAAGCGTGAGAAATCTCGGCGGCAAGTTGGCACGCACCGGGAGCGACTTCGGCTGGACCTCTTTCACCACAATCGAAATGGAAGTGGCGGGTGCCGCATCTTTCTTTTTTTTACAAAAACACCAAAAACCTTTTGCGGGACCCACGAGTTTTGGCACCGGGGCGGGTGGGGCAACGTCGGAGAGAAGACTACCCCTGGCAACGGCGAGTTTGCCGCTTTTTGCGTTACTGCAGGCCACCAACACGTGACCCGCACACCACGTAACCGTCTCACCGCCGCCCTCTTCCACGTCGTAGCATGCCTCAATGCAAATTGTATCGGCCACTTTGCCCGCAAACAAGACACGTTGACTTGCATCGTAGGAGAAGGTCCACTTAAACCCATCCTTCTTGCTGCTCTTTGTCGACACAGCGGGAATGCTGACGGCCGGCATCCACGCACCGCTAGACACCATCCGCGCACTCACAAGACAGTAGCAACGTGCCCCCGCAGGCGTCGAGGCGTCCAGCCGAAGTTTTTTAAGGCCCACTTCGCAGTACACGTCGCTGGAATTCATCGGCGCCGTCACTTCAAAACCGCCTCCGTCAGAGGCAGGACGGGGCGCCCAATCGACACGTCGACGCAGCTGCTCTATTGCTGTCCCAGCAGCAGCCGTCTGGCGTTCAGGAAGCACGTCGCACAAAATGGCTTCGTCGCCGTTCATCAAATACTGTTCCTGCAGATGTTGGTGCGCAGACAATCGTTTCAGCTGCCTCACGGGGTTAAGCACCGACACCAAGGCGTTTTCTATCAAAATGGACTTCTCCCCTGAGTCACCCTCGGACGTCGCGGGTAGGAGCGCGGCGAGTAACGGGGTGTACAGGACCACGGACAACGGCTGATCCCACAAAACGCATGCCTCCACTGCAAAGCAAACGTGAATGAGTGCCTCAAGGTGAACAAGTATACTCTTAGCGGCCTCGGATGATGCAATCCTTTTAATGACCCTTCGATTTCCCACGTAGATTGAACCCTTGCGATTATCCCAATACAACTTTGCACCACCGGTACGAAATGCACTGTTGCACACATCTACAACCTCCTCATTTATATTTGTCTCGAGGGGTGGTGGCTCCTCACCCTCGACGGTGGCGCTGGGGGGACCAGGGAGCGGCATCCGCTGAATAACGCAGAGCAAGGGTGTACGCCCTTTCGGCGAAGAGACGCATAAGCTCAGTGTAACATTCCCCAGATCTTGGTAGGCGATGCCGCAACGGCCAAGCAGTTCCAGTGCCACATTCAGGGACACCTCACCAGACCGAAATTTATCATGCGCTACAAACATGGAGGTAATGCGTCGGAGAAGAGATTTGTGTGCGTACGCATCCACCATTGCCAGTGCGGCATTACGGTGCATTGGAATAACACACCCCTTTAATGCAACAGCGCGTTCCTCCGCGGTTTCCACACCAACAGCCTTTAATGCAAACTTTAAGCTCTTCTTGATGAGATGCTGGTACGGAACATCCATGACGGCTTGGCTGCTGCCGCCCTCCGCCTGTGGGCTCTCACCACTCTTGTCCTCCTTCGTCGTTGGGTTACGCTTTGCGCATTTTGACTTTTCACCATCCCGCTTTGTTGCCGTCGCGGCTGATGCGGCTGCCTTCTTCTCTGCCTCTCTTCGCAAAGAGTCTCTCTGAATTTCCATCAGTCGCTCAAGGAAATGCAAAAGTGTGTCGTTTGCCGAGCCACGGGGCACCAGACAAGCAGGCGGCAAAACACGGAACCGCGGCGCATCCTCCGGTGGCGTAGTTAGCATAACCACCTCACGAGTCTGCGTTAGTGGCATTGACTGCGGCACATCAATCGGCCCAGCCCCCTCACCAAGGATCTCTCTTCCCGGTGAAGATGTCGACGCTGAATCCGAATGCTCAATTTCGCTAGATTTTCTCAACGAGCCACTTGTACCACTGCCAGTTATTAGAGAAGTCGTTGACTCTGTGGTCTCTGTTGCTTCACTCAGAGTCAAATACTGAGACGGCGCACGCACCTTCGTGGGTTTCATTCGCAAGGACCCATGGGAGCCACTTTTTCCTTCTTGTGTGGTACTTACAGTCAATTTCGTTTCATCTTCCTCCAGCTCTGTGGTGGACGCGGAGGCGTGTCGCTGCGTAGAAGAAGTTTCTTCTGTTTCCTCGCCCGTGTAGGAATACGAATAACTCTGGGATGCAACGCTTCCAACGCCTTTCCGTAGGTTTCTCGCGCTGCTCCTCTCCGTTACCGTGGAGGATCCCGTGATGCCTTCTGAGTCTCTTGTCACGCCTGACGTCGTTGCCCCTGACGTGGTGGTCCCAGCGGTGGAGTAGCTGTAGCTGTCCTTGCTCCCCGTCGCACCTGAATAGGAGTAGCTGTCGGTGTAGGATCCCGACGCCGAACCGCTGTAGGAGGAAGTACGGGTTCTGGACTCTGCGTCCCCTCCATCTCCCGTTGAGCGACTTCCCGAGTATGTGTAGGACGAGGGTGATTCATCTGGCCTCACAGCCTCATTCTTCGCCCAGCGTTCGTCTCTCCTTGCTCCATCTTTGCCCCTCTTGGTGGACTCCGTGCTATAGCTGTAGCTGCTGCTAGAACCAGAATAACTGCCACTACTGCTTACGTCGTCTTCCTCCCCACTGTAGCTGTAGCTATAACTATACCCCTCACTGTCGCCATGGCTGTCAGATGAGGCAGTTGCAGTGTTGGTTGCTTTTCCTCGTGCAGCCCCAGCAGAGCGCGATAGAGCGGCCTGCGCCATCGCAGGCTGCCGTGGTGTTTGCGGCACGCGTGGTGGTAAATCCGGGCGCGCCAGAAGCCGTTTTTGCCCGGTCTGCGGCACGGCCTCTGCCGCCGTCTCCGTTTCCGTAGTGGACTCTGTTCCGGTGTAGCTGTAGCTGCCGCTGTAGGAGTCATCGGTGCGCGATGACGTCGACACACTTGTCTCGGCGGGGGCTGAGGGGCGTGGCACAAGAAAAGCCCCCGGCAACTGCGGCCGTGGCTGCGGCTGTTTCCACATGCACTCCGGCCTTGAAATTCCCAACCTCGTCCTCTATGGCTGCGTGTATGCACACGTAAAGGCGGGTGATGCTCCCCAGCCCGCAAAAAAAAAAAAACGCCGCGAGGAGGGCGCGAGAGGATCAGCGAGGGAAGACGGCCAGGGACGCACTCCCCGCCCTTCCCCTGCCTCTTCCGGCCACACTCCCACTCCCCCCTCGAGGTTGGGCGAGTGTCCGGGCCGCGCTCTATATCAGTGAGCGGACAGGTGCCTTCCTGTCTGCTGCGTCTATGTGCGCTGCAGGTGCGCAAGGGCGGGAGTAATCCTTGCGGTGAAACCGGGCGAAACCGATAGAGCAAGAAAAGGAAAAAAACAAAGAAGCTGCGGCGTGTTAATTCACAGTGATGCACAGACACGTAGAAGATATATGTATGTATATATATATATATTTTCACCCTGCCGATGACTAAATGGGGCGACGCCACTGTTGTTGTATCTTATCTTTCTTCTCCACCCCCTTCTTTTTTTTTTTACTCCATCCAATTTCTTCCTTCTTGGACCTAAATGATTCCCTTTCACAAGAAGTAATATGGTTCTCAACGCAGTCCCATTTCTTTTCCTATTCTTATCACCACAGCCCCTGTTATATATATACGTATATATGTATATATATATAGACATACATATGTATATGTATTTGTCTCATTGGTCTCATGCATGCATGCCATCATCTTCTCTGGCGGCCCCACGATGCACAAAGTAAGGTAAATAGGCAACGTAACATAATAAACAAATATATATCAAAAAGGAGACCCTAAGTGAATGCACACCCGGGCCATTTCATTATCACAAAAAAAAACAAGTAAATTGGCGTATGCGTATCAGCATACATGTATGTATGTCCACATTACACCTGCACATATCGAGTCCATATGTGTTCTTTTGGCATACTTCATCGTTTTTTCTTGTCCTTTTTTTCTTTTTGCTTGCCAGTTATTCATGGACTGTACTACTTGTCTCCATCCGTTTGCTGGTGGCACACTGTCAGGGCTTTTGAATGCCTCAGCACGCGTGTGCAGACGGCGTGTTTCGCGTCTTCCCTCCGCCTGTGATGTGCGACGACACACGCCGGGGGGGGGGGGAGAGAGAGAGACGGAGAAAGCGTGGGCCCGGCACCCCCGCGCGGCGGCGCAGGCGTGCGGAGAGGGAGGGAGAGTGGGAGAAGACCACTCGGAAACAAAGTTTCAAGAAGTAACAACAATAACAACAACAACAACAACAAAAAAGAGATTATCAACACTGGCACATACACGGGAAGAATTACTTGTGGGCCAAAAGCACAAAACAACATACACGCAAAAGCACCGTCAACGAGAAAAGCACGACGGATCAAAAGGAAAAAAACACACACAGTGCCGAATTCAGGAATAATTAACCACAGCAAGCAGAATCTGTCACAAGGACAACCCAAGAAAGGGAAGAGGACGGGCACTCACTTTTCAGACATATATGCATACACATGTTTATATAGGCTGCCTCTGCGTGTGTATGCAGAGAGCTACAAGAGTCATTCCCCATCTTGTTTTTTGTTCTGTGTTTTCTTTTTGGGTCCTGGCGTCCTTCGGCATTGCATCCTGTGTTACCTAGGGCGGGGTGAAGCAAGGCCGCAAACTCCCAACGAGGGTTCGCAGAACAAGCATATTGCGTATGCTGGCAAGCAAAAAACATCATCCACGGAGCTTGCGCCGTGTCCATTTCGCCCGCCGCCGCCCCTGCCTCGTCCTGCGTCGGCCGACCCCACACACTGCGCTGCTTCCCCGCAACCCCCCGCCCACGCCGGCGCGTAGCGGCCAGCCACGCACGCACGGCACCTCCCCCCCCCCACCGGAGGCGGGCAAAAAACACCCAACCACCCCGACACACCACGGTGATGGAAAAACAAAACAAGAAACCAATGAGGGGCGGCACCCAAAGTAAAAAACAAAAAAAAACAAAAAAACAACAACAGCCAAAAAATCATTCACTCGGGACGGAAAAGAAACAACAGAATACATCAAATCAATAAACCGTGTTGTCGAGGAAAATGTACCGCAAAATCCCCATGGAAGCAGCTTAAAAAAAGAAGGAAAACAAAAAAGTTGGGAATGAGAAACACGCAAATGCCGTAAAAGACCCCCAGCAGTAAAAAATGCGCCTTGCTGAGCAATGATACCTATTATCGTAAACACCAGGAAACAAGAAGAAGAAGAAGTGGCAAAAGGGAAAAACAAAAAGGGACACACGCGCCGCGTCTGACTCGCACAGATACGTCCCTTCCCGTGCGCCGCCCCACAGAGAATGGCGCGCCAAAGCGCATACGTACGTATATATGTTTACCGGGCGATGCCCCCCTCCCCGCCGCCGCCGCCCACGACAGCGAACGACACGGGTGGGGCAGAACGGAAGGGAGGCGGACGCAAGAAGAGAAGACAAAAAACACAACGACAGTGGCCGCTTCTCCCGTGGACACGGCATTTTTCTAGGCAAGCCACGTGGAGGAGGCAGCCACCATGTGCACACACTCCTCCTTCACAGCCCACCGCAGCACACACCCCCCACGCGCCCAGCACCTTCAATTTTTTTTTCACCCTTTTACCGTAACCAATTTTTTTTCGCCCTCTTGCGTCCTTTTCTTCATGCAGCATGAGGGAAAAGCCACAACGTGCCAACCACGGCATTTGCGTATACCCTCCGTTCAGCGACGCACTTCTGTCACGGCGTATCCAAATTCCAGTGACGCGCCTCTTCCACTTTCCTCTGGAAAGTGCTGGTGCCGCCGTTGCGCGTGTCCTCTCCCCGCAATTTTACTTTCAGAACCTATTTTTTTTCTTTTTTTTCTTTGCTTTCTCTTTCCTTTACTCCTACGCACTTCACTATTGTTACGAACCTTTTTTTTTTGTCCTTGCCTACGCCGTTCTTGTTCTTTTGTTTTGTTCTTCCTTGTCGCTGATGTGCCGTCCCACTTGGGTTTGACCCCCCCAGTACATTAACCTCCCCATTTTCTTTTGTCGGTTACGTGGGGCGGGAAGCGGCCCCCTCCCTTCCCCCTTTT